TGTTGCAACTCCAATTTGTAGTGGAATTGTTTAAAGAAAAAACCAAGTGGCAAAACTACTAACAGTTTAATTCTTGTTAAAAGGTGTACAAAAAGAACTTACATGGGTCGAGTTGAGTGTTGAGTATTAGTTACATACTAGTCAAAAAACTAACTAACTATCATTCTTTCGAAAATGTCTTTTATAATAAAGTTTGGTTCTGCTTCATAAAAATATTGGTAATGCATCGATTAAAATAAATGGTTTAGGAGAACTGTTTCATATAACAGTATGGTTTCGCTATGCAAAACGTTATTGGTCATACATTGATTAATATGAATGTTGCATAGACAATTAATGAGATAAATGATATTACAAACGCAATACAGGCTAAAAGTTAATACACATACAGAGCGTTGAAAATACATATAAGCAGGGTGGAACCTAACAATACTACAATGTCCGATACATGTAGAATTGTCTGTATTGAAATTAAGTATTTCGTCCCTACAACAGCGATACGGTTCAAACCCGTAAACAAGTATCACCATCATCAACACTATTTCCCTAAAACAAGAACATCCGACAACCTGAACTATTTGTAAACAGTAATTTAATGTAGATCTTTCTCTACCCTCCTAACTTCTGTTTCTTCTTCCAAATTGTATAACTAGCCTTTCATATATGTCACTTACCTCGCCTATTTATTACTTCATGTTTAATCTCTATCCTTGTCATTCACCTTCATTCTAACACTACTGGTTTGTCAGTGTAGCTTCCATTCTATTTATGGCTGTCTCTGACTCTTCCTTGCTGGATGCTAATACTGATGTATATCTGCAAATCTAGGCATACTAATATTTTGCTCTTATATATCAACCCCTAAAGTTGTCCTGTCTTTAATATTGTTTATCACGTCTTCAATATATAAATTAAGATTAAACTGGACTTTTTACTTTTTTACTCCTCTATGTAGCTGGTCAAGTTCTTTATTTGGCTGTTGCTCTATATTTATACAAACTATTTATTATGTCTCTATCTCTGTACCTCGTCCGTACACTTTTAAATATATTTAACATCTTGCCACTGTCAAAAATTAATAACTATCATGTCACAGTATTGTAACAACTGTTCTATAGTGACAAATTGACCTACTCTAATGATTGCTGTTGTATTGCTGAACTAATTATTGGACTGCACATCAAGTTCCTCATACAAGATGTAACCATTAAAAGAATAAACGGCTACTAAAGGTTGACTGTTAACTTATACACCTTGAATTACATTTAATATAGTCTGACCAACAAGCAATACATGAACAAAGAAATACAAAACAAACAGT